TTTTCTTTTTTTTTTTTTTTTTCTTTTTTTTTTTTTTTTTTTTTTTTTTTTTTTGTTTTTTTTTTTTTTTTTTTTTTTTTTTTTTTCTTTCTCAGTCTAATTTATGACAGAGAGAGTGTAGATTTGGGCTATAAATCCTAATTCTTGATGGTTTATGAGACTGTACCCAGAAAGCATCTCTGAAACAGTACTACAGTTCCATATAATTATACTCAGCACCATGCAGCAGTAAGTGTATATCTCATTGCAAGACGTATTCGGCACATTCCATTCACTATTTTGAAGTCTCAGGTGCTCCCAGAGACTCTATATTTTCCAGCCACTGAGCGGCTCTGTTGTATGTTTCCATACCAGTGCATGCTCTTTTTGAAAGCACCAAAGGACAGTGACTAACACCATTAATCAAGGTTCTGACTGAAGTGTGATAGAGCTGGTTCTTATCTTGCATAGTCTGAAGTAATCAGTAAGAAGTCAGCGTAACTAACATCAGATTGAGCAACATGTGTGTTACTTCATAGATTTAAGAACAATACCTGCTAAACCAGAAAGGAGCATAGTTAATGTTCTGCTTTTATCATTTCACAGGTGACACTAAGAAAAGAGAAAACAAATATCACTGACTTTTCTCATCATGTTTGCTGCTCTATAATTGAGGAAAAACCTCTTGCAATTATGTTGCCTACTCTGAGCACTGCAGAATTGACATCTGAAATCAGGAAATGACATAGTCCGAATTCTCATAGTCAATCAGGTCTCAAATGCTGTTCAAAGGACCCAGTTCTCTTCCCATTAATGAATGGTGTAGTTGGGAGGTGGCAGACATGGGGTGCAACTGGGACAGCAGCCCCAGGCAGCACCATTGCGAGAATATGCAATCAACATGGCAGAAGCCCACATTGCCCCAAGGCATGGAGCTGCCTTGTCGTGCCTCTGCACTGAAGTAGATGATGTATAGGATCAAGCCTCAAAGGTAAAAAGATCTAGATACAATGCAGGATGCTTCCATAATACAAGATTACACATACCATACATATTTTCTGGTATATAAGATACATTTTTTTCCCAAAATGGAAGTCTAAATTTAAGTAGTGTCTTATACAAAGTACATAACAAAAAAAATATAGAAATTATTCTGATAAAATGTGACCAACTTTCAATTACATTTATGTTTACACTTTTCCCACTAGTTTTTTTTTCTTGTTTGGGGATTTGTTATACACAAAGGGGTGTTATACACTGGAAAATATGGTAACTATACTTCCCACATGGGACCAGGACTTTAACTTGTCACTGTAGCATCTCAGCAAGCACATGCTAATCAAAGTAGATCTTTTCCATGGTGCCTGCTGGATATGCAACAAAACTTAAACTAGCAAGTTCTAGTGCTACACTTTTTCACATGCACGTTTCCACAGATTTCTAAGCACTATCTATACTAGAGAGCATCAACAAGATTGATTGGCCTAAAGATGAGAGCTGTTTGATTCTGTACTATTAAAACTGCAGCATATTCACACAACTGTGAAGCTAGATGTCAATATTACACTAATTTCATAAGCTATGAATTGTTTTGGTTGTATTTGTTCTAGCAGGTCTGTTAATCAGTACAGGCAAAATGGGTTCCTTTAAATAAGGTGACAGAAAAGAAAGAAGTGCAGAGAACAATACAATTAAAAACAGAAAACTTGAATGATTTTTAATAGTAAGACCATCACACATACCCACATACAAGATGTTACTCAAAAGTCCTGAAAACTGAAGGGTGAAATTAGGCAGTCATACTTTGTGTCTTATGTGAAATCAGAAAGTTGGCTTTTTATAAAATGAAAAAACTAAATAAATGTTTGCACTTATTGTGGAGGATACCTGAAATCATCAGCAAATGTACACATATCAGAGTACAAATCATGTACCTGGCCCTGGATTTAGAGTTGTGTGATCTCTCGTGTACAATTGGCAATATAAAAGTACAACAAACTATTCAACAAATACAATTTTAACAAGAAATCATTCCCTTTTATAGCATTTATAGCCTTTTTTACAGTCTCAAAAAATAAGGCATTATGGACAAATTATTTTCACTGTATCAGCGTACATATTGACTACTAGCTTATATATGCTGTGGTCCAAATCCAGGCCCACTGATTTTATTGGCAAAACTTTGATTTCCAAAATATTTCAGCTTCAGAATAGTTTTAGGTGGGTTCTGTGAT